ATTTAGTCAGATTTTTAAAATTATTCGAGCCGAGATCGATTCAACAAGTATCCCATACATACATACATACATACATACATACATATATATATATATATATATATATATATATATATATATATATATATATATATATATATATAAACCGATGTAGTTTAAACGTCGCTGTTTAGATATATCTTAAACTGTCTTACATTTTCGAAAATTGTACTGACCACACTATTTAGCTGTTCCTTTTGGCAAATGTCATTTTGAATTAAGTATATAATATATATATATATATATATATATATATATATATATATATGAAGAAACATAGTTTTTAAGGTGTGCGATATTTATGGGATAAAGTGCTCAATATCAAAGATAGAGGCGTATGTAAATATAAAAGTGAACATTGAAGTCAACACTCCAGAGGCGACAGGCTGTTTCATGCTAGACGCCGATGAAACACCCTATCGCCACTGAGTGTTGACTATAATATTCACCTATATATATATATATATATATATATATATATAGAGAGAGAGAGAGAGAGAGAGAAGAGAAAGAGAGTTAATACGAATATAAAGTCTATCAGCTGATTGATGTTTATATAGATAGAATATAGATATCAGTAGTGTGGACATATGCATCAACACTGCGTACCGACTGTCTGTTTCATGCTTAAGCGCATTTCTCAGGCCTGGCGATTCGTTTAAGCATGAGACAGTCTGTCAAAATTGAATGTTGTTACCTGACAGGCTGTCATAATTCAATGTTAAAACCCAAACGGCTTATATTTACATACACTCTATCCCTGATATTGAGATGCTTTCTCCCATAAATACACCATACTTTAAATATATATATATATATATGTGTGTGTGTGTGTGTGTGTGTGTGTGTGTGTGTGTGTGTGTGTGTGTGTGTGAGTGTGTGGGTGTATGCGTGTGTGCGTGTGTATGTGTGTGTGTACGTGTGTGTGTGCATTAAGTGCGGGACTATTTTCTTTTTATTCATTTATATATATGACAATATGTTGGCCTACGGACATCAATTGAGGGGAATGTTCCGCTACGAAGCGTTTGCATGCACGCTTGCACCAACTTCTACAGAGTGTTAGATGTTGGTGTATATCTAGACCGACTTTGATACATTTACACACGCAGAGATGAAAGAAATATTGCCTCTTCACCACTGGCAGATAAGTCACTTGCAAGATTAGTGTGTTACCATGGCAACTGACACTTTGATCTCTTCTGATGAAAAGATGCTGAAATTCAAAGAACGATCGACGAATGAGGCAAACAAAGAGATTCGCTTTACACAAACAAGCAAAGATTGTTGAATGAAACACTTTAACAAGTGGAAACTAACAATAGACCAACAACAATAACAAAACTCTTTTTATCAGAACGATTTATACAAATCTGCAGGAAGAAGGAAAACATGTAAAATTGATGGACAAGAAAAAAAAATCTCCAAATGCGAATCTTAGTCGAACAAAGAGCGAAGGATTATCTTTTTATCCAGTTTGTTACATGTGAAATTTTCCATTTGCAAAGTTCTTAAAATAATTTCAATTTCAATTGCTTAAAGAATGAAGTCGCATTTTTATTGGCAATTGCCACGAAAGAAAAAGAAAGAAAGAAAGAAAGAAAGAAAGAAAAGAAGAAAGAAAGAAAAGAAAAGAAAGAAAGAAAAAAGAAAGAAAGAAAGAAAGAAAGAAAGAAAAAAGAAAGAAAAAAAGAATGAATGAATATATATCGTGTCATTATCATGTCTCTCTTGTTGTTGGGACAGTATTTTGGGAGTAAAAATCTATTTTATTTATGGAATTTGATTTACAAGAGAGAAATGTTTAAAGAATCGTAAAAGCAGCAAAATTTGTGCTTATTTGAGCGACTAATTGAAATTCTTCATCTTACATGTTTTCGCTGATATATCATCCTAGGCCATCTTTAGTCACATTTTGTATCTGATCTTTAAAACAAACAAAGCTGAAGACAAATTCAAAGATTAAAAAAATGAGACGACGTCAATTCATCATTTAAGAAAATAATCGAGGAATTGAAAATTACAACAGGTAATAATTTTATCAGCAAGTACATTTGTATGTGATACCCGATGATATAATAACACATATGGTGGATAATTCACTGACAAAATGGATTAATTTTATGTCAGACGTTTTGTGCTTCGAAAGGAATTCTTCACACTAAAGAATTTTATTTATTGATGGATTTAGATACAAACATGATTTAATCTGAAGAAGTTCTTTCGCAACATTTGTCTGATATCTTTTATTTATATATCATATTCTTCCACGCATAAACATATATACACATTTACATGCATATACATACACATATACATGTACATGCATACACGCATTACTTTTTTATATGTGTGTTTGTTTTATGGATATATATTTCTACACAATCTTATGTGTACACACACACACACACACACAGACACACACATATATATATATATATATATATATATATATATATATATATATATATATAGTACAGGTAATCGATCCGTTGGTATATAATCCGGGTGGATCTTAGTAATTAAAACTGATCCACAGAGAGCTCGATGTATAGCCGTGTACAGAATGGCGTGAAATAGACTGTCTCTATGTTGAGGTAATTTTTCGTTTTTTTGTTGCAATATATATATATATATATATATATAAAATGAATAAAAGTATTGAGTTATGGAAATATGCGTACAATCAGAGAATCATCGCGAGTTTCGTCTGGCTACGTACTAGGTTAACAGGTTTTTCATAGACCGGTGGTTGTACAAATTGAATGTTCTCGAACGCATACAGAAAGGGACATGTGATGGGAAGGTATTATTATTATTATTATTATTATTATTATTATTATTATTATTATTATTTGTTGTCTTTTACGATGATTCAGTTTGAATCCAATTTAATTAGTCGTAAGAGATTTATTATTATTATTATTATTTCTTTTTTTCATTTTCTTTAAGTTGTTTTATTACTGCTCTGCTTCTTGGGATTGAGCAATGAATTAAATCGTCGCCTTTTTGCAGAATAGTATCAATAATCATTTCGGAAAATTTAATATTAAGTACACAAAACGCACACATAGATAGATAGATAGATAGATAGATAGATAGATAGATAGATAGATATTGTGTATTTCGGCAGCAATCCTTCATTTATACATTTATACATGTTTCATTAAAGACGACAGATAAGGTAAAAGAGTTATAAGAATGTTTTATTTAATAATAAAGAAGAAAAAGCCAAAACTCAATAATATTAACTATGAACACGGCCACAAAATGCTGTGTTCAGAAAATAAAATATTCCTATAAATCTAGATACATTTAGACAATCCCTCCACGCAATTACAAAGCAAAAATAAAATCATCTTTGATAATAGCTAATAGTATCGCCGAACATTTGGAGAATGTCTATACAGTCTGTGGCCAGAAAAGAAAATATTTGTTCGAACACAAGAAAAATTAAATAAAAAACTTAATCACACTACCCTCTCTGTCGTCTTTAATGAAATATATATATATATATATATATATATAACGCAGGCTTAGTGAGTGCTGATAGTAATAATAAAAGAGTCCTTGATGTAAAATAACAGAGCTGAACTTCATACTAAGAATAATTAAATATTTCTTCTTCATCACTCGAGACTACTCAAAGTTTTATGCATATAGCGATCGTCAGGTACAAATTAAAACTTCTTTGTTGATAGCCTACTGGAAACATAACGGGGCAGTTCATTTTCATAAGGGAAAAATAAATGAATAGATTAAAAAATGAAAAAATAAATGAAAAATTTTTTAAAATAAAATAACAAACAAAAATAAAAAATAAAAATAAAAGAAAAACATAACTTGTACATGGTGGGGGGTGATGGTGATTATAATCCGGTTCAAAATTTGAAAATATAGTTTAATCCCTTTGAAGATTCTCTGAAATAATGCATATCAGATTTGGTCTAAGATTTGACACAATTCTACTTATTTAGAAATCTATCTATCTCACTCTGTTCCTATCTATCTATCTATCTATCTGGGTCTGTTTATAAATAAATATCTATCTATCTATCTATCTATCTATCTATCTATCTATCTATCTATCTATCTATCTCGGTTTATTTATATCTATCTATCTATCTATCTATCTATCTATCTATCTATCTATCTATCTATCTATCTATCTCTGTTCCTATCTATCTATCTATCTATCTATCTATCTATCTCTGTTCCTATCTATCTATCTATCATCTATCTATCTATCTATCTATCTATCTATCTATCTCGGTCTGTTTCTATCTATCTATCTATCTATCTATCTATCTATCTATCTATCTATCTCGGTCTGTTTCTGTCTATCTATCTATCTATCTATCTATCTATCTATCTATGCCGGTGTGTTCATATATCTTTACCTATCTAGCTATCGTAATCTATCTATATCAGTCTGTTCATATCTATCTATCTATCTATCTATCTATCTATCTATCTATCTATCTATGATTATCTTTGCTTCTCTCTCTACAACTCCACATTTGTGATATTTTAATCGTCCTCTTAAGGCCTTACACTTTGGGCAATGCCATAAAAATGGCCAAACTCTGCAAAAGCTGATTTTTCAGCTAATTGCCTTTTGCCCTGAACCGGTGAATGTTTGCTGGAAGGAACAATAAAGATGTTGATGGTATTTGGTGATGAGAAATTTCAACTTTGCTGCAGGAAAGTGTACGTGCCAATGAGGACAATTTTTCCCGCTCGAATGAATCAGCCTGAACTTGATGGTCAGGAGTTTGGTTCAGCCTGGAAGTCCTGGCATCAGAATTGTCAATCGGCAAGTTAAAGAAACTGCTGGGAAGGGGTGGGGAGAATGTTCCAGTGAGTGAGTGAGCGAGTGATATTGAGAAAGGTGGTGGAAACTTAAGATGCAAAGGACGAGAAAAAAAAGCGATAAAATGGAGAGATAAAGTTAGAAGATGTTAAAGAGAAAATGCATGGCTGTGAGAGAAAGAGAAAGAGAGAGAGAGAAAAATGAAAAGAATGGAAGAATACAGAGATAGGCTGTAAAAATGAAGAACCCAAATGACAAAATAAAACAACAAAAAGTGTGAAAAGTGAGTGGGAGAGAAGGAGAGGGAGAGAGAGAGTGGAGGAAAGGGAGCCGTGAGGTGGGTATAATTAGTTGAAGGAAGATCAAAGAAAAGAGTTAAACAGAAATCAAAATAGAATCTGGAACAGAAAAGAAAGAAAGAAAAAAGAAAGTAAATGGGTGAGAAAAAAGAGGGAGAGAGAGAAAGTAAGAAAGAAAGAAAGGAAGAAAGTAAAAGAGAGAGAAAGGGGGAAAGAGAGAGAACGTAAAAAAGGGAGAAAGAAATAAAGAAAGAGGGGAAGAGAGAGAAAGAAAAAGAGAAAGAAAGTAAAGAAGTGGAAAGAGATGGATAAACAAACATCTAAATAAAAGCAGCTAATTTATAAAACAGTCAAACAAATATGAAAAACAACAAATGCGTATTTAGAACAGACATTGATGACAAATCACCATTCCCTCAAAATGGTTTCATTTTCATAACTCATGCTACCAGTTGTCTCCCTTTATTTATATTACAATCCCATTCTATATGAACTATTTTAACGTTAATTTGAATGATGCCCATTTGTCTTGAGCATTTTCGAAATCTGTTTTGCAACATCTGATACTTTGGGTTCAAGGACAAATTTCCAGAGGAGGTTGCCATGGCAACAATTGAATTCCATTGCGACATAGGTTAAAAGGATTTTCCCGTCTTTTACATCGACTTACACTGGGCTAAAAAGGAAGAGAAAAATAGAAGATAAAAGAGAGAAGAAGAAGAAGAAGAAACTGATAAACTGAGAGAGAGAGAGAGAGAGAGAGAGAAAGAGAGAGAGAGAGAGAGAAAAGAGAGTTGGAATGTAATACGCCAAAAGAAAGACTAACTAAAAACTGGTGGAGAATTATGAAGAAACTAAACGCGTCAGATTTTATTAGGCACGTTAATGTTGTCATACTAAGTTGCTATTAATCAACCGATGTTGGTAAAAGTTTTAGGCTATACTTAGGTCCATAGATGAAAAATCCATGTGAATTCAGCTCGTAATATTTTCTTCTAAATATTTACAGTAATGTATTTCGTGATGTACAAAAGTTATTCTATTTATGGCAAGTAGAGAAATGATAGATAATAATATATTATGGATACTTTTTAATTTCAGATATCTAAATATTTTAATAAGCACAAAGAAATCTATAATCCCAATAGAGAAACAAAATACTAAAAGTCTTAGAAGATTTTAAAAATCCATGAATGAAAGAATAGTGAATGTTATAGAATATCAAGGAGTCCAGATTCCAGATTTATTAAAATTTATGAGAAACTGCAATGTTATTAGCCCTGACCTGATATGTCGGCTTCAGTCATTTTCCTTCCTGTAATTTGGCTTTACTATAAATACGTTCATGGTAATTGTTCTGGTGAACTTCCCTCTACGTACATATGGGAACTAGTTAGGACTTCTGTAGAGATTTTGCGGTATTATGATGGCTATAGTAAGAAGGTTAAGTAAGAATGTATTGTCTTTTGTGTAGGGAATACTGTAGTATGTTTGGGTCAGTTTATAATGGCTAGCTAAGTTTAAGATAAGACAAACTGAAGAGCAATCCCCACCTTTTGGCCTTGTGCCACATTTTTTCATTATAACAAAATAAATATTACTTTCCTCTATGGTACCTAGACTTTATGAATTTCAGCGTACTACTAAACTGACGGTAAGGTCTCATCATTTACAGTTGAAAAGGCTAGATGGAACCGTAAGTTCTATGTTAACAGTTTCTTCTATCGCACTTCTCGCTTGCGGCAGTTTCTTGCTTCCCAGCCTTTAAAGTTGATCTTCAGAAATTTACATACGATGTCAATCGTTATCTTCTGTCTTATTTCTTGTTTTTCATTGACCTTTCTCCTTAATAGTATATTTTCCTCCTATTCTCTTACACTCAATAACCTCTTGCGTCTTAGTGGCTATAGTGAAATAAAAGAATGAAGAGACGAAGTGAAACTCATACAATATATTGTTCATATTAAAATAGCCTGATTTTTTTATTAACATCAGTTTTATTTGATTGTGAAAACATTAACTTACCTAAAAAGACCTAACATAGTTTAGAAGAAAAAAAAAGAAAGAAAAAGAAAGAAAGAAAGAAAGAAAGAAAGAAAGAAAGAAAGAGTAAGATGAAAGAAAGAGTAAGATGAATGAAATAGAAAGAGAACAAAAAGAGTGTGGAATAATTGCAAAAGATTTGAGAAAATGACAGAGGAAAGAAAATTAGAAGAGACAAAAATCGATAGAAGAAGAGAAAGAAATAAGGACAGAAGAAAGAAAGACAGAAAGAAAGAAAGAAAGAGAAAGGTAAAAGCGAAAGAGAGAGTGGAAACTATTTGATATTCGAGAAAATATTTGAGGAATTTTAAAAGAAATAAGGGAAAACGAAGCAAAAAGAGAAGAGATACAGACAGAGTAGAGGAAGTAAGAAAGAAAGAGTGTGCGAGAAAGGGGAAAAAAAGTGTAACGTGAAAGAAGAATAGAGAGAGAGAGAGAGAAAGAGCAAACGAGAAGCATGGAGAAAATAAGGAAAGGAAACAGAAACATAGAGAGAGGGTAATCAGTAGACGAAGAGAAAACTGAATGAGGGATGGAAAGAGGTAAAAGGAATGAAAGAGGAAGAAGTAATCAAAAGAGGGAGAATGAGAGAATTGAAAGGCAATAGGGAAGAAAACACCGACGACGGAAGAATGCAAAAGTAAATAAAATAAAATAAAACGAAGAATGTTTTTATGATTGAAAATATTAATTGTAGAAAAAAATGAAAAGCTAAAAGCAAATTGATTGAAGAAGACGGAAAATAAACAACTTTATTTTCAAAGAACATTCTTTTTTCAAATCAAAAGAAGCTATTAACAAACTCCAAAAGCAACTGTCTTAATGAATGTTATGTCTGAATTACGTTGTAAAGATAATAGGGGTTAAACTTTGCCACATATTTTGTCAACAAAAAGACAATTCTGTAGACATCCTGGTATTAAACTTTTATTTGCTTATATATTTGGCTTGTTCAAGTTTTTTTTTTTTTACTGCTATCGTTAAATGCGCAGAAAGAAGTGATAAAGGAGGATAGAAACTTAGAAAATAATTGCTACATGTATAAAAGGGTTCCGACATATTATAGCTACATAGTTTGGATTTCGATGATAATATATATATATATATATATATATATATATATATATATATATATAGAGAGAGAGATAGAGAGAGAAAGAAAGAGAGATTAGAATTATATTGATAAAGATATACAGTGTGGGGAAATAAATATTCCAACAAATATTCCAGATCTGAAGACCATATACAAAGAAGAATGGAACAAAATACCAACTAAAATTTGCAAATCATTGAGAACTACAAGAAGATGTTGGTTGCTGTAGAAGTGAATTATGGCGATTCTACAAAGTATTAAATGAAGATTATGTAGTCTTTTTTGTACTTTTTACCATTTTTTCCTTTTTCTTTTTGGGTTGTTTTGGGATTTTTTTCACAAATTTTAAAATTGTCTCCCCATCGTTCAACAACCTTTCAATAACTTGTTTTTAATCAATTATGACCCGTAAAAATTTGTATTTTCTTTAGTTTTAAAATTTAAATAACTATACTTTTTTCAGGAATGTTTTAGATGAGAAATTATTATTATTATCATTATTATTATTATTATTAATTCCTTTGATTTCTGTTGCATACACATTTCCTTCCGGGTCCCAACCAGAGACCTAAGGTCAGAAATGGCTTCATGATATTTTCCACTGATCCTTTTTTGTAAAAAAAAACTCTAAGATCACATTAGTTTTTAAGATTTTAATAAAAATACTCTTGTCCCTTTTTGTGATTAGCTGTACTTGTGAGTACAATTTTTGTTATATTTCTTTAAGGTATGAGCTACCAGAAATCCCTTCAATGAATCTATTGGAACCTTTTTCCAATCAATCCGAGGGCTTCAACTACAACTGAAATTTCAGATGTCCTCATGCTCCCAATTTTTTTAGATTTCCATTTCAAGATCCTTGTATTTTGATAGTTTTATGAAGATCTCCAAAGATACATTACAATCTGCAGTGACTGCCATGTCAATAAGAAAGCACATTTTGTTTTTGTGGTCTTTGATCAAAATGTCTGGGGGATTTTTTTTTTGTTTTGATTGTTCTGTTTGTGTCTATTGTAAAATCCCATAAAATTGTCACAGGTCCTATCTCTGTAACTGGTGTCTGATACCAGCTGGTCTCAAACCAACCAGCAGAATACTGTTTTTCTTCCCGCAAAAAGAATTATTATTATTATTATTATTATTATTATTATTATTATTATTATTTATGTATGTTGTTTCCTGCATTGTATCCTGTAGAGTCAGGTCCATACTATGGTCTTTAGGCCCTATAGGAGAATTGTCATTTAATTGTTTGAACTTTTCTTAGTATATTGGATGTTCCTAGTAGGGCGACCCTCTGGGCAACTTGTATATTGATGTTACCTGGGATAATGTTAATAAAATTGTCCATTCCTTCTCTCACGAGGGCCAGTGCTCCGATTACTATTGGTACAGTCTCAGTCTCAGTCTTCATTCCCCACATCCTGTTAATCTCACTCTCCAGGTCCTAGTATTTGGACAATTTCTCGATAATTTTCATGGAGGTGTTTCTCTCAGATTGCACTGTTATCTCAATAAGCAAACACATCCTGAATTTATTGTCTTTTGTGATAATATCAGGTCTGTTGCTTTTTATTTCTCTGTCAGTTTAAATTGGCATGTCCCAGAGGATAGTTACATCATTATTTTGGGTAACTATGTCTGGTTGGTGCTCATACGATCTCTCAGTGGTTTCGATTTTGTGCTTCTTGCATATCTTCCAGTGTACATATGTTGCTACCTTTTATGTCTGTGGATATATTCATTTTTTGCTCGTTTCCCACATCCTGAGATAATATTTGTTAAAGTTTCAATGATCCTGAATTTCAGAGTCCATTTTCAGGATTTGACAAATTGAAGATAAGATGTATATGGAGATCCCTCAATCTTTCTGACCTTCCTTTAAAAACAATTTACACACTTCAGGGAAAAAAAATCAAATTTTCATTCAGTTCAAAAAATTCTGCTGAAAAGTGTAAA